CAGATATCTCATCACATTTCAAGGTTTTCTACATTGTGGCGATATAGTGGATCAAATGCTGACTTAAAGTCGAGGAAATTGGCAACCAAGCAACCTGAATCGTCGATATTTTTTAGTGATCTTGCGCAGAGTGAAAATTTTGCAGGGGAAGGAGTGGTGTACCCTGACGGCTGCATGATTTTCCCGAGGCCTGCCATTAATTGCTTCCCTCAACTTTTCCAGGATAGTCGAGTAGAAATGTTTCCGGGAGAATACGGTAGTGTGCTACTAGTGCAATTGTAACACCTAGTCACCTTACTCCATTTACATATAGGAAAAATTGCTCCACACCTTCATTCTCATAGCAAACATTAACTGTCGCATGTTATGAAGCAAATCATGGAACATTTCTGCCATACCCGTTCCTCCATACTTAATACCTCCTTACTTAAACTCTGGGTGAATTCGATCTACTCCACAGGCTTTCTTCACCTTGGGATGTAGCAAGGCCTTTTTGTTTTAGGCAAGGATTTCTTATTTTGTGGATGGACCTGAAATAACGTATAGTATTGACAGAAAGTTTATGATCGTAAATCACGAATCCGTGTGGCAGCTGTTGAATAGTCGAAGGAACTACATCGTCAGACATGTTTTCGGAATTAATGTTGTCATAGCTTCAATATAGATCATTTATGCTCCTGATTCGTTTGTGAGGCCAAATAAAAAAACACAGTCTCCGAACTTTCACTCGTTTTGAAATTCCGACGTTGTCTGGTAAATTTTATTTGTTAGTGTTATTCTATTGCTATAAAGGCGCTCGATTTGATCCAGTTAACCGCATTGCATAAACATCACATAGCCCCTACTTACGTCATCCTGATTATGGACTTGAACACCGGTTGCACGACTGATATCAAGCTGTTCAGCTTGAAAATCTTTCATCATGTTCGCATTAATATTAAGTCTAAAATATGACCTTAATGTGCCTATTACTATCCAGCAGTTTGTCGTCACGAAATACCGCCATCGCCTTTATGGAAGCAACCCAGGACAGCCTGATTAAACAGACCTACCGACAGATTATGAAGCAGTTAACTTCGCCATCATTAGCAGCAGCGATCTGTTGGTACCAGGATCTTGATGATATTCAGCTCAAGCCTTCCGAACTGAACTGTAATGAAAGAAGCTTTCTTTCAGACCTTCCTTAACCCTCTGCTGTCATTGTGACAGAAAGCAGTTCTGAGCACATAGCTACCGTATCAGCCATCAAAGGAGTATTCCACTGTACTTTACTGTAGTAGTAGACCTGCTTCTCTGCCGATCTGCAGCCATTTGCTTTGCATTCATTGTCAAATTCCCTTCTGTTTTTTCCTCCCAATCAATCATGGGGCATCCTATTGTTCCACTGCCCTAAACAGACTTAAGGGCTGTTAGCCGGATTAGCGATTATATGAAGATGTTTCAAAATATTCATAATTTTCTCGCAAAGACAAACAGGATAGTAGGATAATGGCAGGTCATGGTCGGCGATAAATAAGTGCGTTGTTGAAATAACATTCAGGTACGCTGAAATTTGGCTCCACTTATCGTTTTCTCAATTCATATTAAACCTCTTCTCGTCCAGTTGTCATATGCGCTTCTGTTGGAAGAGTATACTGATAAAGGCTTCGATGGGAACCTTCTTGTCATTTGGCTTATGATGCCAGAGGGAACAATCGACTTCAATATATTTGTTGCTTTCGCCGAATATCATGTTTTTCCGCTTTGCAGAAGTATGCCTTCAGCTTGTGAAAGGGCACTCCTCGCCAATCACCAACTTCCCATCAGTTTAAAGTTATCTAGTCAACTTTTATCCCCGTATGTTCGCGTTTGCGTATCTGCTTTTTTTCTTCCTTTTCATCTGGATACGCGTCATTCGGAAGGAGAGATTACTTTAGTACCCTCATTACTATTCTCTTCTTTATGTCTAGCAACGCTCAACGAGTTATGGCTTAGTAAAGTGTTGATTTTAATGCCTTTAATTTTGTGTTAACGATCTGGGCGACTACTAGAGGAGCATCGCTTGATCATTTGCAGTCTGGTACAATGAACTGGGACCAAGTTTTTTGCCAGTGTCCTAAAGTTGAATGAATCTTTTTCGATGGCAAAAAACTTCGTGCAACTTTTTTCGCCCATATCTGTTTCATGATATACAGCTGTTTTTTACTGTAAACTTCGCGTTTAAGTAGTCGGACGAGCGGTGCTACGGATGCCGGCAATAATTTTGTCGTCGTTTCGTGTGCCGAACGCGCATCTCTGATTTCACTTGTTCGGTGCTAGTAAATGTGGCCCACAAAACGAACGGGCAAAAAACAAAGGATGTGTCAACTGGCGTTTCAGAAATTTATTCAAGCTCCTCGACGACTGCGAATTTCTGCAAACCACTGCCGCCACGGCTATCCGGTCCGGCGACGCTTGGCGTCCATGGCAGGCCACGGTTGTCTTCTGTGTGTCGTACGGGCAGTGCTGGCCGCTGTGTCCACATACAGTATGCCAGTACCCCCCCCCACTCCCGATACATTTACGGAAGAGACGGCGACAGCAATGGTGTCGCTCTCCCTCACGGTTCAGCGGTGTTCGCACCCTCCCGCCGGCAGATCACTGATCGGCATTCAAGCAGGGAAGCGCCTCCGTGGTCTCCAGGGAGCCCTTGTGAAAGCGCCCGTGTTGCGCAACACCGCAAATGCAATTAATCGCTGCTCTGCCCCCGCTTTTGACGGTCGCGCCACTGGGACACAGAAAGCCGGGGGGGGGTGGCCATGTCAGTCGCTGGCGACCGACTCGGCCGTAATCCGTCGCACGCGACGGCCCATTCACCGGCAACGGCTCAGGTGGCACACAGCTACTTCTTTGTATTTCAATTTGAGGCAATTTGTAGTAAATCGACCTCATTTGCCTGGTCGCGGGCGATATTAAATCGCGAACGTACGTTCGATAAACACGTCTCATCGAAACGTCACGCTGGTCGCCGTGCGCCACTCGATGATCGCTCTTTTTTCCCTCTTTTAATTAATTACTGAGTAACAAAATTACCGCGCAATGCTCTACAACAGATTCACCTAATTGACAACCGACGAAGCCGCGGGCTTCCTCAATCGATTGCTTGTCAACTAAGCTTATTAACTTAAGCCTCGGTCATAGGCGCGACTCTCATCGTCTGCCTCTGCCAACATTGGCGGTCGTTTGCTTTACAACATCTGCCGTCTTTGATGCAATAATAGCCGGGCACTTCCTAAGACCCGTTGAACCTCACAGTTGCCGTTACCTCAATGTCACTTCTCCCGGGAACCAATCACGAACATTACGCTCATTGCTGAAGAGTACTACTGAGGCGAGGTATGCTGCTGTCTGCCACTAAGGATCGACGATGCTCTATGCTGAACTGAGGCCGCAGGCCAGGGACAAATACCGACGTGCACTGAACACCCTTCAAGGAACAGCTGCAATCACTTTGCAATAGCTCCTTGCCCGAAGCATAGAAGCGAGTCTCCTTGCCGTCCTCCTGCAGACGTCATAAGTTTAAGCAGTGTTGCTCTTTTTCGGACCTAAGTGACGAAGGCGCACACAAACTGAGGGTCGACTAGCTGAGTTCTAAGAAATACCTGCATTCGTGTGTCGCAAACGGGAAGAAAAATAGCACAGGGAACGTTTCTGGCTTCATTGACTGCCCGTATTCAACAGTGGAGCCAGCTGCTGAGAACCGTTGGTTGGGCTTAGTCTGTTCCTGACTCTCCCCCATTGATTGATCATGCAGATAGTAAGATATTAATTAGGCTATGAATGTCCGTTGCATTGGCTATTATTTGGTCAGGATTTTATTACAGATCCTACGATAATGAACTCAGTTAGCACCATCAGAGAAACCATGTTCACACCTTTATGACATATTTGGCAGAGCCTTTCATGTCAACCATTACACTTCACTCTATCTCTCCTGCCACACCATGCTGGACACTGTCTATCGTTTAGGATCTGGAAGCACGGATCGAGTTCTGAAGTCTAAGACTGAAGGTCGCATACTGTCAAATACGACGATTGATTTTCAAATCACGTGACACCGCATTAACTTGCAGTATGATCTTTGAAACGAGTGATTGAATACCTTCATTTGCACATGTCATTCTATGTTAAAGCCCTCCGATTCCTCACCCTGCTGAGGATGAAGTCACACTGTCAGTAGATGTGGCGATTATAAGAGAAGAAAATCGGCCCTGTTAAATATACTGACTGAGTATGAATCATTTACTCTAGCCCGTGGCGTTTACGTGTGGGAACCAAAACACGGCACTAGGCTATCAGGACTCTCAAATAAAGCAGTGATGAACCGAATAAGGGGGGGGGGCAGATCTGCATTCAGAAAGGAACTATTCTTGTTAAAGATTCTAACCGACGGTGGTACCTGGTAACAAGTGTTGAGCGAGAAGCGTTTTGCCTATGCATTCACACACAACGATTCCCTGGCAGCAAAAGCGGCTGCTCTAGACCTTGCACTTGCATGCAAGTAAACGTGGTCATCGGCACAACATCATATACAAATAATTCTGTTCGAAAGGCATCTCTTTGCAAATGCTGAAACGTATATTGTTAAGATCAAGAGTCAATTCACTTTCTCTATGTTCGCCCTCAAGTCCTTTCTCTGACAATTCCATGACCTTAAACTATGAGTTCCTTTTTCTCACCAGCACCCCTAACTCACCCGCTTCCTCGTTTGTAAACAAACTATGCAGTTCAACAACTTTCAATGGTCTCTTCATTATTGCTGATCAACTAGGCAGTTCAGAAAGGAGCCAATCCAAAAATCATGTGCTTACGAGTAAACGGGATGGTGCTCAATCGCGTTCTCACTTGGGCGAAGGGGAGGGGGGGTAGTAAATAGATAAACTGAAGGCTTTAAAGCACGCTCTTAATTTAGTGCAGATTCCGCAGTTCCATTAGGATCACAGAATTCCATGAATGCTTACAGAAAGCCACTGAACGAATTTCAGATGCATCGTGAAGTTTGTGAATTGTTAATAGCGGCCATTATATTTTACCATTTACATTGGCAAATTCGAGTTATCAACTAACGAAGCTGAGGCGTTACCCTGTTCCAGATTTGACTACGCACACGTGGTTTAATTGCCAATTATCGCAGGCTGAAAAATTGCCTCGATCCAGCATAATTCTAAATTGGTTTAATTACATTCATTGATTTTGAAATTGCGTGAAATCAGTCGAAATGGTAACATCAAAGAGATCGAAAGGAAGATTTTTAGAAGAGGCAAAGAGTTTGTTAGAGAAGTGGAAGAGGATGAGGAGAGATGGGACCGAAAACATGGCCGAGTGTTTCTTTTTATCTTAGCTCATTATGAGGAAGCTCCAAGAGGACTTCAATGTCGCCAGTTGAAAAACAGCCAGTGATCGCAAAAGCCTCAAACGGTGCAGAAGAAAGTTAGCGCACTGTCACTCGACCATCACGGCGTTGAAGAACCGGATGGCACATTAACGCCTGATGGAGCTGATATATAGTCCATCTGTGAGGAAGTTTACCCTCGGTATATTCCATCGAACGCTACCCCCCCTCCACCATCACTCCCTGTCCTCGTCAGTAGGTTTAGCATATCACGCAGGACATGAGTCAAGGAAAAGCCCAATGGAGAGACGGTACGACAACTGAAATGGTCAGAGCAGGTGATCAGATGCTGTGGAGGACTCCAGCTGAAAGGCTCGGTTGTTAACTGGAATAGAAAAAGATTCCATCAAGCTCGAATGAGTCAAAAACGATCGTTTTGTTCAAGAAGTGCAAAAAGGAAGACCAGAAAAACTATGACCCGCTCAGCCTGCTATCAGTGTCTACGAGCTATTCAGAAAGGTCATCACCAGCAACACAGGCGAAGACCACGCAGGATTCTAAAGGAGCCATAGCACAATGGACAGTATTTTGACGTTGACTCAATTCCTCGATGCATCGCCTCAATCGACTCTGGGCGAAACTATTTGAGGTGTGGACTGCACTGACACAACAGGGTATTGACACCCGTTGCATAAAGCTGTTAAAGGAACCGAACCCTGACTGTTTCATAAACATCGCGCTTTTCCACACCTCTTCCGGATTCCCGTGTAGAAGGGCGTAAAACAAAAGGACACCGTTTGGCCGAAGATTCTCACTGTCTCTTCGGAAATGGAAAAGAAACTGGAAGG